TATCTGGTATCAATGGAACCGGTTGTGTGATCGACCAGAAGTCTGGCCAAGTGGTGACCAATGCTCACGTGTGTCAAGATATGAGACAAATGGACGTCCGGTTTCGCACACAAACCCAACTCGAAGTTATCCGTAAGGCACGGGTACTCTATTGCGAGCCTCAGTACGATTTGGCCGTAATTGGCGTACAGTTTGACAGCACTGATGAGGAAATGTTCAAACAGTTTGAGTTGTGGTCAACAACCGATCGACGATGGAGTCGGAGTCGGCGGCAGCGACGACAACAACAACAGGAACTGGTGGCCGATTTTGGCGAACAAATAGTCTGTTTGGGCTATATATTGAAAGGCCAATCATATACAATGGTCGGTAATGTTTATTGCGGTTATCGGCCGTTGAAATCGCCGAACGGTTTGTTTTGTTCAGAAGATGTTCAACAATTATATCACAACAGTGGCACTGTTAGCGGCTTTTCCGGCGGACCTACCATCGATCAAATGGGACGGTTAATCGGTATACATAATAGCGATCATAAGTCTCATAGGAAAGCTAATGCCACACCCGTTACCACAATGAATGGTAATAATAATAATAATAATAATAATAATAATCATTAAATAGAAATTAATAGCTAAACTTTTTTGAAATTAAATATATATATTTTTTTTAATTTAATTAAATTTATATCGATTTAGAATTTTTAGCTAGAGCAGAAAATTATCAGGTAACTAATATTTTTTTTAAATAAATATAATAATTAGTTTTTTTTATTTTAAAACATTTTAAAATTTTGTTTTTTTTAATATAATTATCACAGAATGAATGTCAAAATAATAATAACGTTATGAAACATATAATCAAAACTGATTGTCAATTAACTGATAAACTAGTATTGGGTGCAGAAATCTATTGGTACCGACAGTCCAATGTTAATCAATACGTAATACTGGCCACAAAACAGGGCCTACGGTTCCCTAATATGGATTATATGACAATCGATTGCTGTATACTAGTGTGGAATGTACTCAAATCGATGGACAATGTTTTGGATCAGTTAGTTTTAAAACATTTTTAAAAAAAACATTTATTTAAAAAAAATAATTACTAGTATATATACATAACTATTAATATATTATACAATGTTTGTTTTGTTGATATTTATATATAATATATATATTTTGTATATTAATTAGTGAAACACTTAAGCCATTAGATATAATTAGGAGAATAAATGGCAATTTAGTTGAATCTGTCGATGATTTACAAAAAACTATTGAAACAAATGGTATGAATCCGATTGATTTGATAGTCTTAAGGAATGGCCGTTTTCAGTCTATTACTGTAACTCCGCAACCATTGACACAATCAATAGGATTTGCTTAATATATATTTATTTATTTGATATACTTATGTATATGATATCTAATTGACATAATATGACATATTATTGATCTATTGATTGTAAAATTATATATATATATATAATAATATATTGTTTTGAAATTTTTATTGATATTATGTATATTATTTGATTGATCTTATTAATAGAAAATATATATATCAGATTATACTGTATTATATAACTTATAAAAATGTTAATTATTATAGCTATTGAAATTTTTTTGTACTTAAATATTAACTATATAATGAAATTATTTGATTTTTTAAAAATGATATTTATGTTCAAATTTCAAAGTGAATAAATACTAATACTTAATATTAAATAATTCAACATGGTAAATTTTATATATCATTCATTTTATTTTATTTAATAAATAAACATATTTATATAATATATATATATATATATATATATATATATTGATATTACACACAAATAACACATAGACAAACAAACAAACAAACAAACACACACACACACACACATAATTAAGATCATAATTAGAGGACAGGTATGTAAATTACACAGTACTGTATCACATTAGTAAAAACATAGATTATAGAAATAATACATATGGTTATAGTCTAGTCTAGTTATAGATCTATGATTTATATATAAATTATGTATAAAAATCAATAAAACATTGAACACATTATTTTAAATACATTGGACATTGATTTGACAATAACAACAAAAATACATTATATACTAATAAAAAAAAAATTTTTTTAAGTAACATTTAAATACATTTTTTGATCACACAATTTGACACAATATAATAATAATAATACTGTATATTAATAATTAACATTTACAGTAATATAACTATTTTTTTAGATTCATATAAAAATAGAGTTATTAATAATAATAAGTATAATAATAAATATAAAATAAATAAATTATTTAATGAAATTTATGTTTTTTTTAAATGAAACACTTATTAATGTTTAGTTGGATTTAACTATTTTTTTTATATATAAAACTTTAAATCCTAATCTCGAGTGTCAGGTATGTCCGGCCAATCAATTTACCGACCCTTACCTACTGGATAGTCGGCATACCTATGATGTTGAATATTAATGACATTAAAATATTATTAATAATAATACTAAATAATAATAAAAAGGGAATCCTTACCATCCGAAAGCTCCCTTTCCGCTACTATAGGCGCCCATATCCAGCCAACCGGACGCTCCGTGTCCACCGCCATAGCCGCCGCTTGCGGCGGCTTTCAAATCGGCCATCGGTCCCGTTGCCTGGGCTTGGATATCGGCACCGGCCATCTCGAACACTGGTATGCCTTCGGGAAGGCTACTACCGTCTAGTAGGCCAACACTACTGCTACGATCACCGCTGGGCGCCGACTCTTCATTGTATTCGTCGTCGTCGGACACTTCAAGTGGACTATCGTTTGACGGCGCGGGCGCCGACTCGGACGGCAACAATACCGATGCGTACGGATGACTCTCTTCGGCCAGATATCGGCCGCCACTACCATCACGACGACCACCATCTCCACCGAGCAGAGCACTGGTAGGTATGGCAATCAATCTGTAGGCGTTTGTCATTGTCATCAGCGATGATGATATGGCCATCAAAAACACGAGTAAAATATTTGAATACATTATTTAATTTTTTTTGTTGACAAATAAAAATTATTATTCAATTAAAAAATTTAGTTTTATTTAAATCAACTTTTATTAATTAATTTTTATTAATAATAGGAGACTATATATACTGTATATATGTGTGTCTGTGTAAGCAATTGCTAATATATACTGTATATATAATAATAATAATTTTGTTGAGCAAAAATTCAAACAATAGTTAATTTTTAATTAATAATAACAACAACAACAGTATTAATAAAATAAATTGTTATAATATATATACACATATATATATAAACTTTAATACAATTTTTTAGATTTTTTTTCAAAAAAAAAGTGAGAAATTTTGTACTTTTTGTCGATAAAAAAATGTAAGTCAAGTGGTAATAGATATGTGATATATAGTAGTAGTAGTAGTAGTAGTTTTTAAAGTGTGATAAAAACTTTGTTTTTTTTAATTACATAAAAAAAATTTGTAATAATAATAATAATAATATGTTATTAAATACTAGAAATCTCTTATTATTTATATATATAATTACATTTAATAGTATGGTATCAGTTATAACTTATAATTAACAAACAAACAGAGAGAGAGAGAGAGAGAGAGAGAGAGAGAGAGAGAGAGAGAGAGAGAGAGAGAGAGAGAGAGAGAAAGAATTGATTTTTAATGGTTTTCCGTATCGCTTGAGTAGTGAAGTCAATAGTAATATATTTTTATTTTGTTAAACAATATATTGTATAAAAAAAATAAAACAAACAAAAATATTATTATTATAAACTTTCGATCCAATTGTCACTATTGTATTATAAAAAATATCGTTTTTTTATTAATATATAAAAAAACCTACAATTTTCGGGTTAATAAACAGTATATTTATATATAAAGTTTTTTTTAATAATATATTTTGTATAACAAATAATAATTATGGCACTAATATACTATTTAATAACTTTCTAATAGTTATTAACTTATTTTTTTACTGGGATTGGGAGGGAAGAGTGGGTGAAGGATAGGTAAACAGTTATACTCTGTGTTTTACACATCATTTCAAATAAACAAATATTTTTTCTCTCTCTCTCTCTCTTTATTATTATTATTATTGATTGTATGGGGAAATTACAATCAATGAAACGTGTATTATAAAGTAATTTAGTATTTATATATTTAATAAGTGTATATTAATGATGAGATTACCTAAAAAATTGTCACTAAATGGTACCGATATCTGTATTAATGAGTGTGTGTGTGGGGGGAAAGGGATGTAAAGGAGGGGTATAGAGAGGACAGGTATTGCAATCACAATACAACACTAAAAAACTAAAACTGATTAACACTTTATATATATATGATTATCAGTGCGAAAAATGACATAACTTTTGCATAAGAAGTTTATTATATAATTATATATATATATATTGATATATAAAGTGGTAATCATTTTATTTTAAAGGTTTTCCTAAAATTAATACCTGTCCTCTCTCTCACATATATATAAGTATGAGATTATGAGATAAGCTCTAAAAAATATAATTTGATTGCTACAAAAAAAATTAAACTATCAAATTAAATCAAATTATAAACAAAAAAAATTACAATTTGAAACACAACCTTATAATTTATATATATAAATTAATTTCTAAATTAAAAAAAAAATTATAAATTTTGCACTTATAATAATAATACTAAATAAACTAGGATGTAAATTAGTAGACAAAAAAATAATAGGTTAATAATAATTATTATAAAATATATATAATAATTAGCAAAAAAAAAATTTGTTAAACCTAATTAAATAAATCTATAATTAATTGTAAATTATAAAAGTAAATTAGTTGAGACAAAAAAAAATAATAATAATAATTGCAATATAAGTTCCTAATATAAAAATTGAAATTAAATTGAAATCCTAAAAAAAATAATTAGTTAGTTAACAACTAATCAATTATTATTATTTATAATAATAATACTAATAATAACATAAATCCTATTTTTCTTCAACTAGTGGTTTGTCGGCACCGGCGCTGCCGTTAGCAACTAAATTCACCGACTGGTAGATTACATTGAAATCATCGGTATCGTCATCATCGCTGGATTCGTTGTCGCTACGGTTACGCGGTGTTAGACGACAACCGCGGGCCAAATATTGTGTCAATTTATTGCTTGTGGCCAACAGTAGACCCAAATACGGTGGCGACGGTTTCAATGGTCGACTAAGATATTCGGGATGATATTGGACACCGACAAAGTAGGGCTGATCTTCCAGTTCCATAACTTCCATACGTTTGCCTTCGATGTCTTGGCCGACAAAGTGCAGGCCTTTGGCACTAAAATCGGCGACAAAATCGGGATTCACTTCGTAGCGATGTCGGTGACGTTCGTCAACCGATGCCACATCACCGTAGAGTAGTTTCAATGTCGACGGATGGCCAGATTTGAAATTGGTTGTACGCAAACCGACACGCATAGTACCGCCCATATCGCCGCCATGATGTTCGGGCATATCAATGATAACCGGCCGACTAGTCTTATCATCCACTTCGGTACTGTTGGCGTCCGTCCAGTTCAGTACGTTGCGGGCAAACTCAATGACTGCGCATTGCATACCCAAACAAACGCCGAGAAACGGTTTTTTGTTGACTCGGGCCCACTCTATGGCCAGTACCATACCGTCAACGCCGCGCGGGCCGAAACCTCCCGGAACTATAACACCTCTGATTTTTTTTTAAAAAAAACAAATAATATTTTTAAAAATAAAATAACAAATTAGTAAAAAAATAATAAATTAATTAATAAAATTAGTTAATTAAAACATTAGTACTAATTATAAAATTAAATAAATCAAATTATATCTAAATAATATAATAATTATTAAGGTTACAAGGTGAAAAGTTTAAAAAAAACAAACAAAAATCTCACACATTATTAACCGATATTAATGATAATAATTTGTTAAATAAAATTATAAATAATGTCAATAATAATAATAATAAATAATTTACTATTCAATTATATAATAACGTAAAAATATATAGTAAACAACAAAAAAATTAAATTTAAATTAACACCTATTTATATAAAAACAAAAATTAATAATAACTATCTGTTAGACACCTATTAGTTTTAAAAAGCAATTTTTAGTGAACTTATGGTTAGTGAAACTCATGAGGAATGGTAGCAAACAAACAACAACAACAACAATACATACTCGGCTTTGCATAGCTCCTGCCAGGCCTCGTAGTACTGGATCGGCGACTTGACTTTGGACTCGGGCTCCAGTGATTCGGCATCGATGTACGTCAGATTGAGTCTATGGTGTATATGAAGTGCCGAATGTTGTAGCGCTTTGACTACCGAAGCGTACGAGTCCTGCAATCGGGTATATTTGCCAACGAGAGCAATGTTAACCTCTTTGGTCATATTGTCGTGACGGTCGGCCAGATCGCGCCATTTGGACATCAGTTTGCGAGTGTGTATAGTCGGCAACTGAATCCTTAAACGTTCGGCAAAATACTTGGCCAGACCTTGTTCTTCGAGGGCGAGCGGCACCCGATAAATGGACGATCGGTCGTGAATACAGATGACATGTTCGGGTAATACGTTACAAAAGTTTGAGATCTTTTCGCGAACTTCTTCGTTGATTTGACGTTCACTTCGGCAGATAATCTGTTATTCAATTATAGAAATTCATTAAGTTTAAGAAAAATGGCCGATCGGGAGGTATATATGAGTTGATGGCCGCTGTCGGACTGGCCACTACTCACCAGATCAGGTATAAGTCCGAGTCGATTGAGTTCACGAACGCTAACTTGTGTCGGTTTGGTCTTCAATTCGCCGGTAGTTTTCGGATGCGGTACTAGACTGACGTGAACGTTGCAAAAGTTATGGCCGCCAACCCGCCGGATAAACTGGCGAAAAGCTTCGACAAACGGCATGCCTTCGATGTCGCCGATAGTACCGCCCAATTCAATCACACAAACTTCCGGTTCTTTGTTTGTATTGTCAACGGGTACGGCAGCTACTCGTTCGACCCAATCCTGTACGGCATTTGTCAAATGGGGTACGATTTGGACAGTTTTGCCTAAATAGTCGCCGCGGCGTTCCCGTTCAATTACGTGCTGATAGATTTTACCGCTGGTTATATTGTTGTCCTTATGAAGGGTTACATCAAGAAAGCGTTCGTAGTTTCCCAGATCGAGATCAACTTCGCCGCCGTCGTCCAACACATACACTTCACCTATCGGTGGACAGTATGATAGAGAGAGAGAGAGAGAGAGAGAGACAATTGGTTAGTCAAAAAAAAATCATTGGCCAGTTATATACGGGTAGGTATAACGGGGTTCAGGTCTTATATATATCCTATAAATTAATGGCCAATCAATCAACCACTTGGTGTTTGTGGCGGTGGTTGTTATCGGTGGGTGATTGCAATGGTCTATACATTGCTGGTCAATGGGTGGTGGTGAGGGGTGGACAGTCATGTTATTATTAGATAATACAAAAATAAACTAACCGTGCTCGTACGGCGAAAATGTGCCGGCATCGATATTAATGTACGGATCAATTTTGATGGCCGTTACCCGCAGTGCGTACGACTTCAATAGTGTACCGATACTGCTGGCAATGACACCTTTGCCGATACCGCTGATTACGCCGCCGGTCACCAGTATATACTTCATTGTTGTTGTTGTTGTCGATGTCGTAATTGGTGGCCACTAATCGTTGTTATTGTGGACAGTTGTCTGGCGTATGTGTGTATGTGTTAGCAACACGTGTGTTGTGTGTGTGTGTGTGTTAAAAAAAACTGTTTGATTATATTCAAAACCAAAACAATAATGGCCGCCCACTAACACAGTAGTCTATACAACAGTGATAGACTAGTGTCTTGATTTTCAACTAAAAAAAATTATTTTGTCGGTTTAACGCTTATAACTGGGACTTAGTATGTCCACCGAAGTTGACCAGTGGACGCTATTTCTGAAATTTTATTATAACTATAAATAACTAATTTGTTAGGTTAGCAACTATAAAAACTTATAAATAACTATTTCAGTTATTTTGAAAAATATAAGCATTAAATTGTAAAATATTGCTCAAATATACGTAAAAACAAAAAGTAATAGTTATATAAATTATATAAAATGTGTAAACTGTTATCAACTCATATGACTTTTTTAGCAATAGAAATATTTAGTTTATTTATATAAATCATTTTTGTAAATATTCTGAAAACAAGTGAATTATATATCAGTTGAAATATTTATAAGAAAATAAATAACTATTTCAATAACTATTTGGCTTTTTTTGGCAATTATATACAACTATTTAATAGAGTATAAAAAATTATTAATCAATACACTAGTGATCACAATTTAATTGTTATCAATGATAACTTTTTGATACATATACTGTATATAACATAACTAATTTAACAGATATTTAATAGTAATTTTCATAATTTATATAACAAACAATGAGTAAGTTAAACAAACACTTACCACTCATTTAATATGTACTAGTTTATTTTTACAATTTTGTTTTAAAAAAAAAGTTTAATTTTGATCACTGGTATACAATATGTATTATTATATGCGCGCAATATTAGTGTTTAATGTTTAGGGGCGAAGTTTTTTTTTCAAAACATATACTATTTTTACGTAGTTATTATACACACTATTTTATTTGTATATATATATATATATAGTGTAATCTATGATAAATCTATATGCTTGTGGTGTGTGTGTGTGTGTGTGTGTGTGTGTAATATTGTTTTGGTTTCGAATATAATCAAACAGTTTTTTTTTAATACAGTAATGTTATGACGACAACAATGTAAATAGAGGTTAATATTTATAGTCCTATTCATTAATACCCTGTTTTCATAAAGCAATCTCTCAAAGTATTTTTAAAATTTCTTAATAAAAACACTACTTATACTTGACTTTTAAAGTTAGCAAAAACACAAAACTTTGAGAGAAAGTAGACTTCAAATACTTAATAAAAACCATACTTACAAAGTATGAGGTAAAGCACATGCTTTACACATATATTATATTTTTATATTATTTGCAATTTTTGTATTAATATTTTATGTCAATATAAATATCAAAATCTAAATGATTAATATTAATAATTATAAAAGTAATGCTAAGTATAACTTAATGAAAACGATTTTATACTTTACTTTGAGAGAAATACTTGCAGAGAATGCTTTATGAAAACAAGGTATAACTAAGCATACATTTCAAGCTTAGAGTCTAAAGTTTAGAGACAGTTATTGTAAGCATTATAAGTTATAACTGATACCATACTATTAAATGTAATTATATACAGTGTATATATATATATATAAATAATAAGATATTTCTAGTATTTAATAACATATTATTATTACAAAAATTTTTATCTTTTATTTTTATTACAATAATAGTTTGTATCACACTTTTAAAGACTACTACTACTACTGTATATCACATATCTATTACCACTTGACTTACATTTTTTTTTATCGACAAAAGTACAAAATTTCTCACTTTTTTTTTGAAAAAAAAATCTAAAAAATTGTATTAAAGTTTATATATAACTTTATATATATATATATCTGTATATATATTATAACAATTTATTTTATTAATACTGTTGTTGTTGCTATTATTAATTAAAAATTAACTATTGTTTGAATTTTTGCTCAACAAAAATATTATTATTATATATACAGTATATATATATTAGCATTTGCTTACACAGACACATATATATACAGTATATATAGTCTCCTATTATTTTATAAAAATTAATTAATAAAAGTTGATTTAAATAAAACTAAATTTTTTAATTGAATAATAATTTTTTATTTGTCAACAAAAAAAAAATTAAATAATATATTCAAATGTTTTACTCGTGTTTTTGATGTCCATATCATTATCGCCGACACAAGTTAGCGTTCGTGAACTCAATCGACTCGGACTTATACCCGATCTGGTGAGTAGTGGCCAGTCCGACGGCGGCCATCAACCCGATCATATAACCACCGATTGATGAATCGGTCACTTTTTATTAAACTTAATAGATTTGTTTGTTTTGTTTGTTTTTTTTTGAATAACAGATTATCTGCCGAATTGAACGTCAAATCAACGAAGAAGTTCGCGAAAAGATCTCAAACTTTTGTATTACGTATTACCCGAACATGTCATCTGTATTCACGACCGATCGTCCATTTATCGGGTGCCGCTCGCCCTCGAAGAATAAGGTCTGGCCAAGTATTTTGCCGAACGTTTAACGATTCAGTTGCCGACTATACACACACTCGCAAACTGATGTCCAAATGGCGCGATCTGGCCGACCGTCACGACAATATGACCAAAGAGGTTAACATTGCTCTGGTTGGCAAATATACCCGATTGCAGGACTCGTACGCTTCGGTAGTCAAAGCGCTGCAACATTCGGCACTTCATATACACCATAGACTCAATCTGACGTACATCGATGCCGAATCACTGGAGCCCGAGTCCAAAGTCAAGTCGCCGATCCAGTACTACGAGGCCTGGCAGGAGCTATGCAAAGCCGAGTATGTATTTTTGTTGTTGTTGTTGTTTGTTTGCTACCATTCCTCATGAGTTTCACTAACCATAAGTTCACTAAAAATTGCTTTTTAAAACTAATAGGTGTTTAACAGATAGTTATTAATAATTTTTTTTTAATGTATAAATAGGTGTTAATTTAAATTTAATTTTTTGTTGTTTACTATATATTTTTACGTTATTATATAATTGAATAGTAAATTATTTATTATTATTATTATTATTGACATTATTTATAATTTTATTTAACAAATTATTATCCTTAATATCGGTTAATAATGTGTGAGATTTTTGTTTGTTTTTTAAAAAAAATTTGTTATCTAAACTTTTCACCTTGTAACCTTAATATTTATTTTATTATTTAGATATAATTTTATTTATTTAATTTTATAATTAGTACTAATGTTTTAATTAACTAATTTTATTAATTAATTTATTAGTTATTTTTTTTACTAATTTGTTATTTTATTTTTTAAAAATATTATTTGTTTTTTAAAAAAAAATCAGAGGTGTTATAGTTCCGGGAGGTTTCGGCCCGCGCGCGGCGTTGACGGTATGGTACTGGCCATAGAGTGGGACCGAGTCAACAACAAAAAAACCGTTTCTCGGCGTTTGTTTGGGTATGCAATGCACTGAGTCATTGAGTTTGCCCGCAACGTACTGAACTGGACGGACGCCAGGACAGTACCGAAGTGAACGATAAGACTAGTCGGCCGGTTATCATCGATATGCCCGAACATCATGGCGGCGATATGGGCGGTATTATGCGTGTCGGTTTGCGGACAACCAATTTCAAATCTTTGTTCACATCCATCGACATTGAAACTACTCTACGGTGATGTGGCATCGGTTGACGAACGTCACCGACATCGGTACGAAGTGAATCCCGATTTTGTCGCCGATTTTAGTGCCAAAGGCCTGCACTTTGTGGTGGTCTACAAACATATCTACAAACGGAGTAATAAAATAATTGTAATATAAATTTAGTATAAAATGTTTGATAATTTTTTTTTTTTTTTTTTTTTGATTAAATTTAATATCTATCTAATAATAAACATATGACTGTTGTTATATTTTGTAGAAATAATTAACTTTCAATATATTAATATATATATGATATTAATATCAATATTTAATATCAATATTTAATATCAATATTTAATATCAATATTTAATATCAATATTTAATATCAATATTTAATTTCAATATTTAATTTCAATGTTCAAACAAAAAACACTAAACATATCATATAATTATAATAATTAATAACTAAAAAGTTTTTTGTTATTATTATAGCTTATATATATAGTTATAATTTGATATCTAATATATATATATATAAATTTAATATAAACTAAATTACTAGATGAGTTATTGTATAATTATAAATGATTTTTATTTTATTTTTTAAAAAGTTTGCATAATTTGAGTATATTTTTATTAAATAGTTAATTAATTTTTTTATTTTTAAAAAATTTAGATCAAAGTATTTATTATCAAAAATATAATAAACTTAATAATTGTTTATTTTATAAAATCAAAACATTTATTATTATTATTAGTATTAACTTATTTAACAAAAATATTTACATAATGATAATTGTTATTTAGTTTATAAAACATTTTAAATATATATGTAATTTAATATTATATATCGTATTTTATATATATATATATTCTAATATTAATATTATTTGATATATAATAATAATTTAAATACATTTTCATATTAAAATAATTTTATTATTATTAATAATATGAAAATAATATATAATTAAAATAAATATTTAGACAATGAATTTAAAGTTAAATCTGTAAATGATTGCTATAATTATAAATTACATATTAATAGATAGAAAAAAATTAATGTGAAACTAAATTTTTGTTTATTTATTTACTACTAAAATATTTATTACAAAATATTTATTGTAAATATTTATTGCAATTTATTTATTGCAAACAATATATAAATAGTTTTAAAAAATTGAAATTAATATTATTTTATGTTTGCAATCATTTTATTGATAAAAATTTTATTGATTATTAATATTCAAATTACTTATAAAAAGATATATAAATATATTATTATTTATTTAGATAAGCATTGTTACAAATATAACGATTGTTGTAGTGATATATAGCTATATATCTAACTATTGTATTATCAAAAAAATTTCTATGTATAATATTGAAATGTGACCACCTATTAGTTTACCGATTCAGGCCACAGTGGCCACAATCACACTGTTTGTCGCCCGACCGCTAATTTTATATAAAAATTTATACTTTTAACTTAATTTATGAATGAATACAATATAATTGTTGAAATCAAATAAAAAAATATATTGAAATAATAGTTGATAAGCCGAAATAAGTCCCCTCAAACTTTTTATTAAATTATATTATTAAATAAAAATTACATAAAAATATATTTAAATACTCATTTAATTTTTATTATCAATTATAAATAAATAAATTATAATAAAATTAAAAACCTGTTTCTGGCGTATTTGTATTAATTTCATTTATTAATATTTTGCAAAAACTTTCTCTGCTATTTTTTAATTGTGTATTATAATTGAACCAAATGTTTATTTTATACCCAATTGAGACAATCATTCCAAATAACAATAATTAACAAAAAAGCATATTTGTGCTATTTAAATGCTATAATTATTTTAGATTATATTATTGTTTTAATTTATATAAATTTAAAAACCTTTTTATTTAAATAATAAAATCGTCTATTATTAGATGGTTCCATCTTTAATTATTTTTGAATTTTTATGTTCCACGTCATTATATTTATATAATATAGCTTATTAATAAACATTTATTATTTATAACCTATTTAAAATACTTTTTATTATCTATGTTTATTATTTTTTAATGGTCTCCTCTAATAGGATAAGATAGTTGCCTCACAATATTGTTAACAACATTCAAATGTGTGTTTCAGATAAAATGATAAAATTTTTAAAATTAAATATAATTATAATTAAATTTTTTAAATAATTTATTATTAAAAATATAATTATTAATATAAATTATTCAACGATAATAAATATTTAATATGTTCGCCATTGGCCGCAATACAATTATGCTTCCGACTAATGACTTCAAATGTTTGGATGCCTCATTATCCCAAATATTCTGGATAATGTCCATCCAGTTCACTATAGTGCATTGGGTTTCTAACTCATCCTTCATTAATCGCCATAAGTTTTCAATGTGATTTATGTCGGGAGTTGGATGGCCAGTCAAGCATCTTTTTTAACTGTATACCACAAAGTACAGCGCCATGTGAGCAGGTACATTGTCTTGTTGGAAAACAGATCCATGAGAATACAAGTCATCGATTGTGGCTTTCACTAGGATATCTTGATATCTTTCGGCAGTTATTGTACCTCAGTTAATTACAAGTGAGTATGTTCCATAATTGCAGGGCCGTTATTGGGGACTTGTTTTTCGGGTCTTGTCCGCGCCCAAAACTTTATTGCTGTAGAGCTGAAAGTAACTTAGTACCCCGAGGAAAATATTATTAATTTAGTAAGCAACAATGATAACATTTGTCAATCAGTTATTGCATACTAAATATAAATAATATTGTTCGGTGACAACCGGCCTATTAGCTGATTCAGGCCACGCCGGTGGCTACCTACTATCTGATAGGTGATGTGTGTCACCTGACCGCAATAATATCAATATGTTTTGTAGATTTTTTTATAGTCAAACGGTACCCAATAAGTGTAGTCTCACTTAATAATAATTATTATTATTAATTATTACTAATAACAACTATTATTATTAGTATTAACATTTATTATAAAATAAATATTTTTTAAGTTAATTAGTAATTATCAGTGATTTTTACAGTAATATAACAATAATAATAACTAACTATAAATTATGGATTCAACGGCCTGAATGAGTGTTAAACATAATTACATTAGTTTTTATAAAATAGTATTTTATAATTTTAATACATTTATGGTAAATGCATCCTGCTTGAAAATTATATAAATTTTCTGTATTTAATTTTATTTAATTATTTAATTATAAATATATCACATATATGGTATAACCATATATGTAGTCTATCCTGTATATAAAATTTAGTTAATGTTTAATTTATATTAAATAGCATAATAAATATTGCAATTTATTAGCATTATTATGTCATTATATTAAAAATATAGACTATAGAGTGGTGAAGACATCAACACACAACACATCTGACATCTTTGGTCTCATACATAGACGCTAATCTCTACTCAGCTTTTACCGAGTCATCCGCTCATTGCTTATGCATATCGTCGCCGCACGTTAACACTCTGAGGGGAGTACTTTGGGATCTTAGCACATGAGCACCAATCGTATCGCTTCATTGTCGCTAACCATACAACCAGCCAACGGTTTTACTGTTGTCAACCTGAGCTATATAAAACACATACACTACTGCCGCACCATTAGTGCCTAACAATCAGTCAGCACAGGCACTCACTCACTAACTTTCTTACAAACATTACTTTTCATTCAATCAATCAATAAATTATTATTTCTGTTACACTCGGTGTGTACTTCATTACTATCGCTGGCTATCATCTGTACACTCAAGCAAAGTTTAATAGCGACCTCAACCGCTATAAATTATATTATATTTATATATATACCACATATCTAAGGCAATGATAACAAAAAATAACCAAATTTTTCAAATATATTTTTCTCAAAATCCCCAAAACATTACTACGTTATATACATAATTACGGTCGACTTTAGGGACCATCGAGGTATCCCTAACACAAACTTCAGTAGTGCTAAGAACCGCTACAACATAATATCATTTGATATAATTTGATATTAATAGTATAAAAGCTGATTATATATATACCACACGCACTACTTCTGAATCAGCTCTTAATAAATCAGAACAGACACTCATCAATACATTCCCAACACTTAATTCACACTTTCAATCAATAAACTTATTATTAATATTATTAACTCGTGTGCACTCATTTCTACCGCTGGCTATCTAATCGAGCACTTATATATCATGCGCTGTTAGCAACCCTTTAATTTATTTTGACCTAACCTGACTTGACTTGACTTGAGCTGACCTAAGTTCACCTGAGTTGACCTGAGGACCTGAGTTGACCTGTCCTGACTTGATTTGACCTGACCTGACCTGACCTGACCTGACCTGACCTGACCTGACCTGACCTGACCTGACCTGACCTGACCTGACCTGACCTGACCTGACCTGACCTGACCTGACCTGATCTGATCTGATCTGATCTGACCAGACCTGAGCTGACCTGACCTACTCTAACCTAACCTAAGCTAACCTAACCTAAACTGGCCTAACAGCCTAATCTTATAAATATTTATATTAATATAAAACTAATATAACCTAGAACCACTTACCTTAATTAATATTATACATTTGTTATGTATACATATTTTTTTAATAATGAACATAAAATTTCAGTCTTTAGTTATAAGATTTTTATGTAATTCCTAAATAATAATAAAAAAAATATTTACAATAATATTTATTAATTAATTTTAAAAATCAAATAATCATTTCATTAATAAATATTTACATAAAATATATTTGTTTGTAATTTTTTTGTTGTTGTTTATGAATTAATAATATAAATTATTTTTTAAGTTTAAGCATGAGATTAATGGAACTAAAAAAAAAATTACAAACTTTTTATATTAATTTAAATATAAATTATTTTTTGTTTTCAATTCAAATATTTCTATCAATTCTATAGTAATTGTAATTTATATACAAAAAAGTTTTATAAAATTGAAAATATATATTTGTTTCAATTATAGTGATTCAATTGATTGACTAATTATTATTATTATGATTATTTAAAATCATCTATATTTACAATAAAATTGTTTTTTTTTTGCTTTTTAAAAAATAATATATAATTTTTTTTTGTGGGGAAATATTATTTATCCCATAACTAAACAAAAAACTTATAGCTTATCTCTCAATCAATCAATTGAATCACTTATTATCAATTATTATGATTATTTGGTATCATTTTTTTTAATATACATATTTGTTTTGTTGATAATATATACTAATAAACACCTAATTATTGGCAGTATATTCGCACAAAAAAACCCAAAGTAATAACGGGTGTGTCGGGTATTATGTTTTCATTGGGGGTTAAAAAAACCCGCTCCCGATCGGACACTTGTGGTCAGTGGGGGGGGGAAGGGATCATAATTATTATTATTAGGGTATGTGCCCCTAATAACAACATACCAGTGCAAATATAATAATTTTTTTTTTTAAATATATTATACATAAACTATTTTTTTGTTTGTAGTTTAGTATTAATTAATTAATTGATTAAATCTATTAGTCTTAATCTATTATTGCATATAATTAATTCATAAATGTCTAATAGATAATAGTTTTATAATTAGATTATTAATAATTTTAAAAAAAATTGTATATAAATATCTGATATAATTATTTAGTCACTTATTTTTTTTTGGTTAAATTTTAGTCAATTATTTAAGTACTAAATAGTAAATCGTAAAAAATAGTAAATGATCTAAACATAAGGCCTAACAAACAAACAAACAAATTGCGACCAAATTATTGTATATAATTAAGAATATATACAGAATCTAAATATTTTTATATATAATTATAAAAGTTATATAAAATTTTAGTAAATTAATAATCTGTTAATAACTACTATTTCGGTTTCAATTAAAAAAAATATATATGAATCAATCAATTAATTAATTTTAAAAAATAACTAAATTAATAGATAGTTATTACGCTATTTACACATTTATCGGACACCAAATAATAATAATAATCACAATAAATCTAATAATAATTAAAAATTAATAATCAGATCTGATATAATATTTTTTTTGTGTTTTGTTTTTCTTAAAAAACACATATTTACATAAATTATTATTATTTTTTGTATTATCAATATCTATCTATCTATTAATATTTTGAATATCAGATCAAATTATTAATAAATAATCCAAACAAACAAATAAAATAATAAAATCACAAATCAATGGTGTAATTACCGAACCAGCAGTTGGTAAAAACCGCCGCCGCCGCATAGAGGAGTGGCCAATAAAAAAAACTATACACAAAACAAACCCAACTAATCGATCGATTAGTTGGTTTGGTTACGGTGGGATAGGAATGTTATGTTTGTGTGTATTGTATGTATGTGTATGTGTGTGTGTGTGTGTGTTTAGGGCACCTCCTGTTTTAAGGCACCCACTGGTAGTGGTGTTGGCAGTGTTGGCGGTAGTGTAGTAAACGGCTGTCCCATTCTCCGGGTGTCCGAATCATTAGCAACGATACCATATCTTGTCTGCAATTCTTCTTTTAAGCCATTGATTTCCAATACAATTGATTCAAACACTTGATTCAATTGTTTACGGTTTTCCATCAATTTGTCGACTCTATTATTAAACAATACAAACAAACAAACAAATTGTTAAACAATTTTATTATAACTATATAGAAAATGGGGGTTTATTTTAGAGGATCAGGTGAGGAGGGACAGGTAGTTGGGGGTAGTAGTGGTAATAATTGATTGGTAATACACATACTCATCAATGAGGTCGTCACTGGCTTTTCGTTTTTTGGCTCTTGACTTATTGGCAGCGATTCTGTTCTTCTCGCGTTCGGCCCGTTTGGACTCCTCCTCAGTCATGTATTTTCGGGGTCTGCCACGCGGTCTGCGGCCGGCAGGAGCCGGCGGTACTACAACCACATCATCTTCATCTTCATTGTCATCATCATCATCAGCTGCTGCGGCAACCACTTCAACGACATCCATATCCTCCTCCTCGTCCAAAACTTCTGGCTCATTGTTGACTACAGGTTCTGGCGGTAGTACAGCCATCACTGGCTGCTGCTGCAGCTGGTCCGGTATGTTGTTTGGATGATCGCATTGAACGACTGGTGCCCCCATAACAGATAACAAATTCAAAACACTGTCATTGGACGGGTCCATACCTTTTAGTTGATGCTGAGGAATGTCATACATTTGTACGCGTATTAAGTGTCTGATGGGATCAACCCATAAAACTTTAACTACTTTTGTAACATTGGACTGTGCGCTGGTATTGTTGCTATTGTTGTTTGGCTGTACAGATAAGGAGTTGCTGTTGCTGACCACCGCCGTGTCCACCACTTGCGATGCCGGCAATGCTGCCGGTGTCAGGTTTAATGACACCTCTTGTGGCAGTGTTGGCAGCAATTGCCGGGCAACTGGTGCCACCAATTCGCCGACAACCGATTCTATGCAACTAGAATCGGCTCGACCTACAATTGGCTGCGGCAATTGCGGCTCAGTCATTGGCTTATTCACCGACTGGCCAACAATCAGTGTCTCTGGCATAGTATTAGGAGACACTACCAGTTGCTCCATCGTTGGCTTCATCTGTTGATCGGCGGCGACGAAGACAGCGGTGGCGGTAGACATGTTATTGATGTTGAGGTCGTCTTCGCCGATATCATCGAAGTTTAGGCCACTAAAACTCAGATCTCCGCAATCGGTAATAATATTATCTTCCGAATTGAAATAGTTATCCAACCAATCATTTGTGTCATTAGAGACAACACTATCATCTTTACTGTTCTCCACCACAACCACCTCCTTGTCCTTCTCATCCATACCATCATCACTGATGGTCGGCAAGTGTATGGCCGGTGATACCATCTGATTATTATTGTCTGCATTATTGTCTAATGCCTGACGGTTTAGGCCGTCCATCACCACTCCGTMCTCCTCCTGTTGTTGTTGAGGAGGAGTTTCTGAGCCAATCAGCGACACCATCGAGTCGTCCATAGTATCAAATGTCGGCGTATTTGATCGGCCGAAGCCGGCGAGTGTAGTATTGTTGGTCGAGTCCAGCAGATCATTGTAACTGCCGTTACGACCAGATGAGCCATAGTTACGCTGAGTATTGTAACCGAAATCTTCGTCTATCATATCTAAGACATTTCGGTCCTCAAAATATTTTAATAGTCGGCTCTCRTTATTAGTATTATTCATATTATTATTGATGTTATGATAATTGTTTGCCATTGTTGTAACGGGTAATATGGGAACCGTTTAACAACTATTATATATATATAATATATATATATATATCTATAARATCTCTAACTTTTATCTATTAGATCTAAAAAAAAAATCTCTTGAATTTGATGATGAATTTGATGGTATAATCTATAATAAGAGAGACACACAAAAAAATAGTTTGTTTTTTCCATTCAAATTAAAAATATATATATAAAATCAATGTTTAACTTAACAGCAAACAAACAAACTAACAGAAAAGTTAATCAATAAATTAGTTATTAAAATATAACACAAACAAAACACACACAGAAAAAAAGTTTTCTACAAATAGCTAAAAAAAACTAATATTAATAAAAATAAAATTTAATGTTTTATTTATTGGTAGTGTTAATAATAACAATAACAATAAAAATAATAATAATAATAATAATAAAATATATATATATATTAGTATTTATATAAAAGAAAAAATATATATAATTAATATTTATATAATAGAAAGTATATTATTATTATTATTATTATTTATATAATAGAAAATACAGGTATATATATATATATATATATTATTGTTAAGTTATTTGTATAAAAATAAACTATTAATATATTATTTTTGTATTCATAATATTTTTTGAAAATATATTCATTAATAGAAACTAATAAAAATAAATTACATTGAAATAAAAATAAATTGTATTTAATATTATATTAATTGTAAAATTGTTATTAATATTATTTGTAATATTAATAATATTAATATAATATTTTAAGATAATTTAATAGAAATATTAATAGTTTAATGAAAACATATATTACCGTTAATTTTTATTAATATTAATACAGTATATTTCTATACATTATTTAGTAATTAAATTTTAAATATGAATTATAATGCAAATAAATATTTTAAAAAATGTTTATAATTTTAGGTTATTTATTTTTAATTTAATTAATTCAATGATATATAGTTTATATAAAATTTTTTTTTAAAAAGATTTATATTTAATAATTAAAAACTTTTTTAAATATCAATTTGTTTCAACTTTTAATAAACTTTTTGTTTTTAAGGCCTTAAAAAATGTTTTGTTTCAATCAATTTAGTTTATATAACAAATGCAATGCAATTCAATAGTAAAACTATTGGCTATACTTTTTTTTAGTATTTTTAAAGTATTTTAAATATTTAATAATTAAAAACTTTTATATAATAAATATATATATAAATATTTAAATATAAATTTTTATAACTTTTAATAAACTTTTTGTTTTTAAGGCCTTAAAAAATGTTTTGTTTCAATCAATTTAGTTTATATAACAAATGCAATGCAATTCAATAGTAAAACTATCAGTAAAGCTATCCTATAGTGTATTTTAACGGCACGTTTGCATACAATAGTAAGTCTATGGGATTGTAGTGTTGAGAGAGGAGATAACACACTAACAGTCAATATGTATTGAATACATACATACATACAGACGGGTAATCAATACTACAGTATAAAGCAGTATAACAGCAACACTCTATAGTCAAGCATTATATGTTTATAACCGAAAACAGTACTCAATAGTAATGTTAATTGAATGGTACAGTCGAAGCTCGCTTTTCCGTCCGATCGGACACTTATAACGGGGTTAGGAGTTAGTGACCATTTCGGTCGGACAGTACGGCTGACCAATCGATTGAATCAATCAATAGATTGGCGAAAAATTTACGGCGTATTAGAATAATCACGAGTACATCGAAACGGATTTCACGTATTTTTTTGTATTAGTGGTCAAATCGAATATATAGTTGGAAAAAATGAGCATGCTAATACAGCAACACGTGTTTATAATCAAAAACGCGCGTGCATAAATAGTATACACGTTTAACCCACTTAGTGGGGGTTAATAGGAGGCGTGTAAAACCCCCACACTTATATACTAAACAATAGAATGTTTAGTTATAAGTTAACCTAAACTATTGTAAAATACCTAACTTAACCGAATCTAACCTAACCTAAAAAAAATAAATTTTTTTAATACAAGAAACCAAACGCTAAAATTTGTAAAAATGCAGTTTTTTAGGAAAAACTGCTAGCGTTTGATGTTCTTGTAAATGAAAATTTTTTATTAAATAAACTAAATAAAACTTTAAAAATTGAACCTATAATTTGAACCTATATTTATATTAAAATAAAAAATTTTAACTTACCGTTTAGCGGGACTAAAATACCAAAAAACTTCGAAATTGACACTATATTATTGAAAACACTAAAAGTTTGAAGACTAAGCACTACTAAGAAAAACTTGATGTTTACTCTCCAAGAGCTAGAACTAGAATGAGAGACAACTGCGCACTACAACTGGTTTTKAGAGAGAAAAAATAGAATTGTATTAAATGTTGACTCAATCGTGAAACTACTCTCTTTCAGTCAATGCCTTATTTGGCATTCGATTGATGATTGGCTAATTAGCCAACCAATTGAAGGCCAAATAAGGCATTGACTGAAAGAGAGTAGTAGTTAGTAAAGTTGGAACTGAGCCAAAACAATGATTGCGAAATCTGCAAGCGTTCGATGTTCTTGTAATAAATTCTGGGGACCCCCTCTCTCTCTATACCCCACACCCCCGGGGGGGGGGGGGGTCCCCATARAAAAAATCTAAATACYAGGACCTATACATAGCACACATTAAAAAAAAAAATTCGAAATTTTTTTTTGGAACAAATCGAACGAAAAAAATAATTAAATCGAATTATCTGATTATATATGTCCGCCATATTTGATTCGATTAGACCTTTAACCCCATTTGACCCTTTAATTCATACTTACTGTTTGTTATTTTTTTTTTTTGACTCATAATATACAGTATTTCCGCAATAAAAGTGTAGAAACTTTAGTTGTGTGTATAGATTGGTAATAGAGTTGAAACTATGACAYAAAAAAAAATTGTATTTTTTAGTCAACAAAACAAAACATTCGAATCAAAATCACTGTCGAGTCAGTGTCAATGTGAATGTGAATGAGTCATCGATTCAAACATTTGAAACTAATAGTTCTATTAACAAAAAAAAATATAATTAAAAAATARATATTTTTTATATCAAAAATGTGTTCTAAATTTCAATAGTTTTTTCTATATATACAGTATTTTTCAACTCATGATTCGATTACTAAACACATTCGATATATTTTTTTTTAATTATTATTATTATTATTATTTGAAAATTAGACGATTCGAATGATACTATACTTACTGTTAACTTAATTATTATTATTATTATTATTTTAATATTACTATTAATATAATACTGTATTATGTCTTATCATTCTATAAACTACTTGTTGTTATTGTTGTTATCTCTATAGTAATACAGTACTACTAATACAGTGTATTAGTAAATATATTGTTTAATAAAAACTATAGTATTATTATTATTATTACATTATTTTTTGTTATGTGTATATAAAATACGTCTATTTATATATATATATATTTATGCCGTAACTATAGCTACTAAATGTCAACAGTTTTTTAATTAAATTTATTATTATTTAATCAATGATTCATTCATTCATTCATTCAATGCATAGCTATATTCAATGTATAACTGTTTTACTTTAGTATACTATGTATTATACGGTACACTGTATATACACACACACACAAGTGTTTGAACACATGTGTTGCCTAAACACATACCGGTGCCCGTAGTCATCAATTTTGTGTGTGTGTGTCTGTATGTGTTTAACTATGTTTTAATGGGTATGACCAGTGAAAACACTGGTAGATAGCACTGGTAGATGTTATTAATAGCACCGATTGACAGTACYGTATGTACAGTACATGTTAGGCCCGATATGTGTGTGTGTGTGTGTGGACAGGCCTACTATCCAGTAGACTATAGTAAAGTGGTTTATTAAAGGCCATACCTGTATATATATATATATGGGAACAATCCAATAGCCAACTGAGCTTTTAATTAAACATTAAAACAAATTGGATAACAATTACATTATAATTATTATTATGTGATTTWAAAAACACATATATTTACATACATATAGCAGTAGTAGTAGTAGTAATAGTAAAGTGATTATAATAGTTGTGATAAATTAGTTTTCAAATTTAATTTTCAATTAATAAATACAATACAAACAAACAACTAAACAAAATTATAATTATTTAAAATTATTTTCATTATTATAAAAAAATTTATTATTATTATTATTAATTTTAAATTACAATATAATATTCAATATTCAAAAAATTATTATTATATATAATATAAGTTGTTTAACAAACAAGTTATATAATGGCGTCAAAACAATACTATACAGGCTTTTATATTTTGTTGGCCTTAAAATATAATAATATTACGCACACATACCCATAACACATACCAGTGCTTAGTTGGCAATATATAATATATGATTGATTAAATAGATAGATAAAAGTATTTACCGACAATTTATGTATTTTTTAATTTTATTTTTTATAWAATGTCTCATCCGTTTAATACAGCAATACTATGGATGTGTATGTGTTTGTGTGTTATTATTACTTAATATCTTATTACCCGATAATATCTGTGTGTATATATAACCAGTGTATATATGTGAGGCCACGGGTGTGGTGGTGGTGGTGTATATATATGTGTGTGTGTGTGTGTGCGGGGGACAGTCGTCCAAAAGGTAGGTATATGTGATAAATTAGTGGACAATTAAAAAAAATTATAAATCAATTAATTAAAGCCTAACTAAGCTTTTTTTTTAATTATAAGATAATGTAATKAAAAAATAACTTTTTATTTATATCAGTATTGATTCAGTAATTATTTTCTGTAAATTAAAAAATATGTAATTATTTTAATTTTTATTAATTTTTATTAAATCAGTCGATAATAATATATATATTTTTAAAAATAATATGTAATAATAATAATAATAATATTTTAAAAACATTTTTATGTATATTTAGGTCATATATCAATGACTATATAAATATTTATTTTTTTTTATATACAATTTTTAATGCAATTTGAAAGTGATATTTAATTTTTAATAAATAAAGTTTTACTTAATTAAAATAACAAAAAAAAATCTCAATATTTCTCAATATGCTTAATCAACAAATAAATTATTGATAAATTAGTGATTATTTTTTTTGTTTATTTAGTAGTTTTTATTTTTTTTTTAAATATATATATATTTGTTTGGTAAGTAAAACTTTATATAATTGATAATTAATTTATTATTAATATAAAAAATGAAATTCACAATTTCTATGCAAAATTAAATGCAATTATTATACATATACACATTATTGTATCAATTTATAAATTATTAAAAAAAATAATCATATATTATAATATTATATAAAAAAAAATATTTAAATAATTTGTGAGTTTGAAAATAATAATGTAATATATACTGTATATTTTTTAATATAATATAATAAAACATTTTTAAACATTTAAAAAAATTATATATAACTTAATTATTTGGGAGGGGGTGGGTGTGGAGGATGGGTACTAAACATAATACTGTTTGAAGTTTTTTTTTAATATAGTTGTTGACAATTAATTAAAAGGGTGTTAGTATTGTGCGATCAAATTGATAGACAATTTATCAGTCCATTGATTTTTAGAGAGAGAGAGAGAGAGAGAGAGGAACGGTATGTTTGTTAGACAGCAGTACTTTTGGCAGTCGTCGGTGGTGKYGGCGGCGTCGGCGGGTAATAGTCGACGTGATCGCCGGATGTATAATCATTTTGTTCGAGTATCTCAATAAGCCTGTTGGCCGACTGTTCCGGTTTTAGTATATCCATTTGTTTGTATATATCGCACAGGTATCCTTCGTTACGCAACGTATCGACCATATCGGTTTCCAATGGTCCGGGCGAATAGTTGAGCACCTGTACGGTAGGATTTTCCAGTGCTACCGATCGGAAAAAGGCATCGCGTGCGGCCTTACCTAATTGGTGGACGGGGAGGGGGGAGAAAATGGGGAGGTTAATAATGTTGTTTACCACAGTAATTAATAAATTAATTTTTGTTGTGTCTATAGATTTTAGTTAATATCAGGTTTATATATGATATATGATATATAGTGTATATGATTTGAAAATAATTACACTGTTTTTTAATAATAATAATAATTATTATTATTATCAGTTAAATGCTGATAATAAATAATCAATAAGTAATGTAATATATAATTAGTAATTAATATAAATGTTAGTAAAACATGAGAGAGAGAGAGAGAGGATAGTTAGCATTTTGTTTGTTTGTTAAGTGGCAATCAATCAACTGGTGTTGTTGTTTGGATGATAACGGGGTTAATATTTCGGTAATAAACTTTTATCTAATTTTTTTTGTTTTGTTTACTGATAACTATTAGGATACACACAAACTTATTGACTACTAGTTTTATACGATAGTAAATTATTATTAGTAATGTTATCTAAATTATATATATATACTGTATATAAAAATAAATTTCAATTTAGCAATACTGGTAGTTTATGGACAGTATGGATAAAATTTTAATATAACTGTTTTTCATTAAATATATAAATTATTAAATATGATTAGAGAGAGAGAGAGAGAGAGAGAGAGAGAGAGAGAGAGAGAGAGAGAGAGAGAGAGAGAGAGAGAGAGAGAGAGATTACCGATACAATAGAGGGACAGTCCATCAAACGCTTTCAGTGCACACAAYGAACTGATATTTATGGCCAGCCGGTGCTCGACGGCCTGGAAGTGTCCCAGAAATATGCCCATCATTTGCATAACACTAACGAGATTAACGTCCAAATAGTTGACAATCTTGAGCCTAGAATCGGGACCGTAATCCGAGGTTCGTTGATTGACATCGCCGAGAGTTCCGGCATTGTGTACGACAATTAGCTGATCGTACGGACGGCCGCAACCACTGTCTATCGCTTGACACGTCCTATCAAACGATTCGACAGTTATCGGGTCGTCCAATGAGCCGCAAATGATATCCACTACGTGTATGTGTCGATCGTGAATAGCGGACAACTCATGGGACAGTCCCTGAAGTGCTGCWGCATTGCGGGCCATCAGTACAAACGATAGACTATAATCGGTATCGCAATTGGCCGGACTTTCCTGACATCGTTGGTTGTGATAGTCGACAAAATTTTTTGCCAAACTTAAGGCTATTTGACGGCCAAAGCCACGACTGGCACCGGTAATCATTAGACATACGTGTCGACCCAACCATAGGTTTGACGGTAACATTGTTGTTGGTGGTGGTGGTGATGATGGTGTCGATAGGTTCAGGTCTATGGACATGGAGTTTATATATGATATTAAAATAATATAAAATATAAAATAATAAATTAAATATTATATAAAATACTAAAATACTAAAAATTAAAATAGTAACCTAGTTGATTTTTAAAAAAAATAATAATAAGTTAGTTAACAAAAATAAATTATATTAAAAATTTTTACAACTATTTTAATGTAATTATTATTTTAGCAATTCATACAATGATTTAGAAAAAATAAAATAAATAATTTTTGTTAAAAATTTATGATTTATATATGATCTACGTGTTTATATATGTATGGCACAGGTATGTTAGTATGTGTGTGTGTGTGAGCTCAGGGATGTTTTAATTTTTGATGTTGAAACTGTAGATAAAAAAAAAATATTTTWAAAAAAAAAGTTATTTAAAAATAATTAATTAATTAAACTTTTTTTTCTATCTCATAGATTACTTGACTAACTTGACTGATAATAATAATAACAATAATACTGTACTAATAATATTAATAATAAACTTATAATAGATATGTTAACATTGAATAGAGAGAAAATTAAAATAAATACATAATAAACATAATAGTTTCAAGGTACTTTATTTTTATAAATAATAATAATAATAATAATAATAATAATTTTTAAAAATTACATACATTTATATCTGAATCCTATTACTGTTATTAATATTAAACGGGTGACTATATTAGTCGTCGTTCACATATTACGTTCGCATTTGAGGGGAGGTGGGGGTGGTTAGCCAAAGCGAACTTTTGCGAACGAGGGGGAGGGGGAAGGGGTAGAGACTTTTAGAACGTTCGCATTTAGATAATATCTTATTTCTTGTGATGGGGGGGGGGGGTATTTTTATATATGACTACATGCAAACAATTGCAAACATTGGGAAGGGAGGGGGTCTAGATTTCTTAAAAAGTGCGAACGTAATATGTTAATCACGCCTTATTATTATTAATAACATACAATACAACATCAATAACGTTATCAATAAATTATATCACATAATAATTATATAGTAAATAATATTCAATACATTTTTTGAACATTACATTACATGTACTATARATGTGTTTAAATAAATAAATATTTTTTWTAATTAATTATGTTTAAAGTGTTTATTATGYAATTTATTTWTGAAACTATATTATCAATAATAATAATAATAACTAATTATATTAATTAATTAATTTATATACTGTATATGATATAATAATAACACCCCCTTTAASACCCCCTTTACGTTATTTACTATAMAATATAACTCTACTGTATATTTACGCTGTTATTGTTATGTATGTATTTTAATACATGTTTTTTAATACAATATATCTATAATAATAAATAATATATAATGTTATGATTCATAGTATAAAACATTTAAAATTATTGCAATAATTATTATTATATGTTTTGAATATACAGTGTTTTTCACAACATTAACAACAATGTAATGTATTGTTTGACCATTTGATTCATTGATAATATATAAGACATATATAACACTAATCATCAACAAAATAATTACAAGACATTACTATTGATATCATTATAATCATCACATCGGATGACAATATCATATATATATAATGGTTGACACTTTTAATACCAATACCACCGATGGTGGTGGTGGTGGTGGTGGTAATGGTGGCCACCTGTGCGATGTCCACAAAAAACAACAACAGCATCTGCARCCACACCATCATCATCAACATCAACAACATTACCATCAACAACAACAACAACAACAACGGGTGACGACATTACCGAAAACAACGGCAACATCAATGGCTTCATCGCAACAGCCGTCGGGGATACCGATCGAAATACTGGACGATTTGGCCGCCCGTTTCATCATTAACATACCTCAGCGGGAACGTGACGATCTGATCCGACTATGTTTCCTAATTGAACAAGCACACTGGCACTATCTGGACTTTATATGTCCACAACATCAGCTAATCCGACACAACTATACCAGATTTACGGAAATCATGTTCAATCACATACCGTTCCTTAATCAACATATCGGTCGACTGGCTATAATCGTTAGCAAATGGAAAGACTATAAGCTACTGGTTCCCACTTGCGGTGCCATCCTATTAGATCCGACACTATCGCGTGTACTGCTTGTCCAAGGTTACGGTGGCCGCAGCTGGGGGTTTCCGAAAGGCAAAATCAACGAAAACGAACCGTACGTCCAGTGCGCGGCCCGTGAAGTCAAAGAGGAAACCGGTTACGATGCCACCGCCGGCATCAGCGACCAGTGCTATATCGAGCGCCGTATTAACGAATCCTCAGTACGACTTTATATTGCCAAAGATGTGGATCCAATGTTTGCCTTCAAACCGTTGGCCCGAAACGAAATCAAAGAGATCCGCTGGTTCGCCGTGGATGAACTGCCCGTCCGTACGCACCTACCGACTACTACTGCTGCCGGTAGTATCGGTAGTATCACTAATAGTGTTGTAGTGGCCGGCAATACTGTTAATGCCAACCAATTCTATTCGGTCGTACCGTTTGTCAAAGCATTGCGCCGTTGGATTGCCCGCGAACGCCAACAACGAAAGGAACGGGAGGCCGACGACCACTGGGCGATGACGACGGCAACAGCGCCAACATGAATACGGCCAACAAATTTTGGGCTAAGAGTTGGGATAACGTGAAGTTTGATTGGGACCGCATCTGGCGGGACATCAGACGCGATATGAGATTTAAATTATATTAAATTAAAATTAATTGATTGATTGATTGATTCAATTAATTTTTCATTTAATTAATTAATGTATAAAAACACTTAAAAATTGATTATGATTTACATATGACTTCATTGCGAAAAAACTATTATTATTTTTTTATTATTATTCTCACACTTTTTTTTCATCTTAAAAATATAATTACCGTAAAAATCTAGTTTATGATCACTAAATATAGTATATATTTTTTTTGACTATTATTATTATTATTATTTTGTGTATAAATATTTTTTTTTTGATTGTTTGTTTATTTAAAATGAAAATTAAGCAGAAAAAAATGTTTGTAAATAATATGATATAATAATATCTAATATTTATTGTTTTCAAATATTTATTAATTATAATAATAAAAACAAATTTTCTTTTTTTTGGATTATAATTTAACGGTAATAACAATTTTTTACATTTTATTGTTGTTGAGTGAGTATATAATTTATATAATAATTTTATCGGTAATGTCGAGTATATAATATTTATTTACCGATAATTTTATTTTATTTTTTTTAAACATAATAATCAATAATAATAATTATAAATTTTTTTTTATTTACAATGGCTTGCGATTCATTGGCGGTCCCACTAAATGCATGATAAACTGTGGCTTAATTAGTAGACTATCGTTGTTGACTACACTACTACAGGAGTTGTTGGCCAAATATGGATGACCAATAGCCGCATAACTGTCCAATCGGTCGGTATATGTGCACAATTTGGTAACCAAATCGGCGGCCAATGTCTGCGTACGACATTTGCGYTCCAGTTTTCTAAGCCACTGGCGACTGGCCGTCTGATGATCGGTGGTTACTGTAAATTGAATTTTATTAAAATCGGGCATCGAATTGGTCCAGTCGGCCGGCGGTGCGCCTAAGGTTTTCACTACCAAACATAACTGTTCAATATCGGATTCGCCTTTGAACAGTGGCCATCGTTGTATGAGTTCGCCAATAATACAACCGACTGACCACATATCGATCGTGTAGTCGTAGCTGTTGGAACCGTACAATAGTTCGGGCATCGGTACCAGCGGGTGCATACCTGATGCGATAGTACAGGATTATCCAGACTACGAGCACTGCCGCTGCTGGCGTTACCGCTATCGCACTGCTGMTGATGATGATAATGGTCTTTCTTGAGRTCGTCATCATCGGCAGTGGCAAACTGTCCGCAATCTGTATTCGGTGTTGATGTTGTCGTCGTGGTCAGTGTCCGGGCCTGACCAAAGTCACAGATTTTCAATACGCCTGACCAGTCAACCAGTAGATTGCTTGGTTTGAGGTCACGGTGAACAATACCGTTGGTATGACAGTGATGGACACCGGATAACAGTTGTCTGATGTAGATCTGGCACTGGCTGTCGCCCAGTTCGCCAGGCATTTCGTAGATAATTGTTGTCAAATTGATTGGCAACAATGGAAAGACCAGATTGACACTCGAGCCCAGTGCAAACACGTCCTCCAATAGGATTATCTAAAAAAATAGATGGGATGGTAGGGTAGGGTAGGGTGGATTGGGATGGGGATGGATGGAAAAGTGAGGGTGTAATAGTATAGGTAATATTTTATAGCATTTTGATTTTTGTAAAAAAAAATTAATTAAACTAAACTAATAATAATACTATCAGTGGAAAGGGATATCAGAGTATAATAAGCCTGTTTTTGTACAGTACTGTATATATCTAAGTGGACAGGTAGGTAGTTAGGTATAATACAAGCTTTATCATCAATAAAAAAACTTTAATTTATTGATAATAACATATCACACTTACATTATCATGACTTCTAAGATACTGTAAGCACTTGATCTCCCGTACTATCGATAGCGGTATAGTCTTATTCCGGATGATTATCCTTTTGATGGCCAACAAATATTTATTGGGTATATCCAGGTTGTCCTGATAATCATCATCATCATCAGCAGCACCAGCTATTCCACCCTTGACACTGCTGGCCCTGCCACCAACACTGTTAGTACTAGTAGTASTACTACTACTGGCTACTCGTTTAGCCCTGTCCAGTACGCTAGTATAGGTGCCCTTAAGTATGACACCGTGAGCACCGGCACCCATATGACTTAAAATYTTATACCTGTCCATAATTTTATTTTCTACTTACAGTACTTTAACAAATATTATGCACTAGTTTTTTAGGAAAATATTTATAATATACACACACACATAGAGAGACACTACACAATCCATATAACAGTAATGAGAAAATAATTTTTTTAAAAATGATTTTTTTAGCGACAAATTATTTTTTTTGTTTTGTTTTTTTTTATTTGCTATAGATTTATGCACACAATTATAAAACAGTAGTATTATTATTATTATTATTATTATTATTATTATTATTATTATTATTATTGCAATTTGTTGGTTGACTTTGACAGTCGACAGTCATTTAGTCAGGCAATTGTCAATCACCAACAAAAATCACACATCAAATAAAAAACAAGTTTTTTGTTTTAATTTGTTAGACGATAACAACAACACCGAAAAAAAATAATAATTATTATAATTGTTTTTTAATTACACTGTATATATATATATAATGTTTAGTTATAAACAATTATTATTATTTTTTAAAATCAACAACAAAATTATTATTATTATTATTATAATTATTATTATAATATATCGTCTTTATATTATAATAATAATTATTATTATTATATATCGTCTTTATATATATTAGTATTATTTAGAAAATTGATATTCAATGATTCATTCAAAATTCAATAAAAATAATAAAATTTTTATACAGTATTATATTATTAATATTATTATTAACGCTACTAATATAATAATATTTAATTTTGCAAAATAAAAAAAATAATAATTATTGCATATGTGATTTTTCATTGAGAAAAAATTACATTTTTGTTAATAAATATTTTTATTAACTTGTATTTAAAGCATTTTAAAATTTATTATTAAATACATGTGTATGTGTGGTGTGTCTGCAAAAATGCTGTATAAATATTATATAAATTATATATGTCTATATATGTATCTGTGTGTGTGTGTGTGTGTGTGTGTGTGTGTGTCAGGTGAGAGCACAGGTAGGTAGGCTTAAACAAAACAAAAAAAATATTAAATAAAATATAATTAAAAAAATTCTTTATATATATATATATATATATATATATATATATTTCACACTATTATATATATAATACAATAGTTTACTGATAGTAACGCCAGACTAACATATATTTCAGGTATATATTCAAAATATATATATATTTAGTAAAATGTATAATAGTTTTAATGACATCTAAAATATTGAATTTATGCCATATTTCTATGGAAACATATACCGGTATAATACAGTATACATAAAAAATACTAAAATATATTGTTATATAATAATAATAATAATCTATACAATGTATTATTATTAGTAATAATAATAATAATAATATTTTGTGTGTAGTATACTTCAAGTCATAATCTATTTTATTATTATTATTATTTTATTTAATATAATTAGAGTAGAGTTGTTGTTATTCTATGTTATAATTAAAACTATATAATTAAAAACTTTTTTTTATTAATATATAAAAAATAAATTATTATCTATTTATTATTATTATTAATTATTATTATTATTGTCATCAGTCAATAGGTTTAAGCGCTTTTGATATTTGCCGACAAACAAAAAATAAGTCACTTATTATAATAAACAGTGTGTGTGTGTGTGTGTGTGTGTGTGTGTGTGTGTGTGTGTGTGTGTGTGTGTGTGTGTGTGTGTGTGTGTGTGTGTGTGTGTGTGTGTGTGTGTGTGTGTGTGTGTGTGTGTGTGTGTGTGTGTGTGTGTGTGTGTGTGTGTGTGTGTGTGTTTAGTAAATGCATATTAATAGGCATTTGAAAAAGTGTGTCAAAAAAATTTCATACATATTATGCATATTATAATAATGTAAAGTATTTTGTTGTTGTAATCAATAGTAGTTTTTTTTGTGTGGATTTATTATGTTTTTGTTTAATTAAACTTTTGTTTATTGGGTCTCAAATTGAGACTCTCAATATACAGTAAATAATGATTGTATTCAAAAATTAATATAATATTATAAAAGTTTTTTATAAGAAAGATATAATAATACAAAAAAAAAGTTTACAATTTTTAAAGGGTCGGCTAATTCATTGATTATATATACAGTATATAATCAATGGATTAATAGATGAAAGGATTTAGAGGCGACTAAACGGAAATGATTTGATTTTAAACTATTTTTTTGGTGTTGTCTTCAATTCATTGTATAAATTGCCGAAAAAAATGTTGTGTTTATCATTGTATTAGTAGTTATTTAGTAATATTAAGAAAATAATTTTCTATAAACATCAAATAGTATACCGCAAATAAATTTTTTTTTACAGTCAATGCTAGTTATAAGTTATAACATACCGATATAAGATATATCAATATATTCAAAACAAATTTAATTTAAAATTATAAAACAATTTTCAGGGTCAATTTTTAAAAAAAAAATAATATAAATAAAATGGTTTTATCAATCAATTTTGTTGTTGTTGTTGTTGTAAATTAATCATAGATAATATTAACATTAAACATTTTTAATTATAAATCAATCAAAAATTATATATTAATAAATACTAATTTATTGTACAGTATATAAACAAAATTGTATCAAATATTTATTTAAAAAAAAATAAATAAATAATAATTTTTGTCAACAATTATTTGTAAAACTTTTATATTTCGTAAAACTTTCCATAAATTAAATTTTTAAGAAGAAAATAAATTTTTGATTATTGTTTTGATCCCAAAACTTTAGATGTCGTGTCAAAAACTATACATCTATTTTTTGAGATGGTATGCGATATGGGGTGGGGGTCCTAGAGAGAGAGAGAGAGAGAGAGTGGGGTGGAGTCCTATGGACACCCCACTGAGCGAACCTATGGGGGTAGGAGGTAGGAAAGGGATGACCTGTTTTTACAAGTGTGTGTATGAAGTGGATGGAGAGGAGGAAGGGGATGGCATTGAAGCCATATATACATAATGATCAGTTGAAAGGGGGGCTATGGGTTCGGTATTATGGGAGCAACAGGGAGTCCCGTTTGGTATGTGTGCTCTCTCTCTCTCTATGCGCACACTCCCATACACACACACACACATACATAAGCGCACCGGGATTTCACTGTACTATACGATACACATATATATATATATATAAATACTATCAGTGCTAAGCAGCCAGTGTTCAGATGATAAGTATTAGTAGTCAGCATAAGATTGTGTCTCTCATATATGTCAGAGCACTTCCACACACATATGTTTAGGTTAGGTTAGTCTTCAAATAACTGGCTCAGAGAGACACATACCAGTGCTGCTTATAATAAGATGTTTATAACTATTAACTCTTAAAATAAAGTTATATATAATAATAATAATTATAATATGTTTTTTGAATAAATATATATAAAGTTTTAGTCAAACTTTATTTTTTGATTAGTTGTAATCAATGTATTCAATAGCTAACAACTACTTCTACAATACTATTATTATTTGTGTTAAATATTATTTATAGTAAATAATATTTTTWAAAAAAAAAATATTGAATAACAACTAAATCAATGAATTGTGAAATGAATTATTAATATTTATWTAACATTTAATTATATTGTGATTTTGTATTTTGATTTTTTTTAAAAGTCAACCCAAACTAACTTCAAAATAAAAAAGTTTTGTGTTTAAACAAACTTTTTGTTTTTTGTTGAACAAGTTATTGGATAAAAAACAKCACAAAAAATAATAATAATAATAAATATGTGTCCGAAAAGCAATTATCTAACGGCTCTACTGATAGCCAGTTCCCTACTGGTGTTGTTGTTGTCACCGACCACTGTCGTCCRCGCTTACGGCGGTGGTGTCAGTGGCCAAAAACTGTCGCCACCCGATGCCGTACGCACCTGTGACCCGATCAAAATTGAACTGTGCAAAGGTATCGGCTATAATGTGACGGCAATGCCCAATATGGTTGGCCACGAGTTGCAAACCGATGCCGAACTACAGCTGCAGACATTCAATCCGCTAATTCATGTCCAGTGTTCAACACAATTGCGATTTTTTCTCTGTTCGGTCTATACGCCGATGTGTACCGAAAAATTACCGTTCAATATCGGTCCGTGTAGGCCACTGTGCGAATCGGTTAGATTGCGATGCGAACCGGTATTACTCGAGTTYGGWTTCAATTGGCCCGAACAGCTTGAATGTCAAAAATTTCCYGCCGAAAACAATCTCATGACAATGTGTATGGAAGGACCCGAACTGGCCCAACACGAACGTATGCCGCCGTTGTCGCCATTGAATATCTATCCGCCAATGACTGGCATGACTGGTGGTGGCGGCGGTATTGGTTCAGGTGGTATGGTTGGTGGTGGTGTTGGCGGCGGCGCCGGCATCGGTAGTGGTGGTCAGCAGCCGGTTATCACTAATCCGTTTAGTCAACCGCAAGTACCGCCTCAGTCGCAGCCACCGCAACGCAAACACAAGAACAAGAATAAGCCGCCGAGTGGTGTCMTCCACCAGAATCCGGCGGTTGTCATACCAGTGGTTAACGGCGGGGTCGTCGTCGGCGGCGGACCACCGATGATGCATCGGCCGATTCTTACCGGATCAGGTGGTACACAGCAGCCATCCATCACTGCCGTCGGACTGCCGCCAGTGGTAGTGGCGGCCGGCGATACTGCACGCAAACATCACTACAATCTTTGTTTGGACTATAAATACTTTGACCAATACTACTATATTAACCGAACCGAACGGTGCGCCCATAACTGTTCGGCGGATATATTGTTTACCAACGATAACAAACAGTTTGCCAGCGCCTGGACAGCCATTTGGGCCGCACTGTGCTTCCTGTCGACACTGTTTACGATAAGTACATTCCTGATGGACTCRTCCGGCTTCAGATACCCTGAACGGGCCATCATATTCATGGCCGCAAACTATTGTGTATTTTCTTGTGCTTATATCTATCGGCTGATTGCCGGCCGTTCGGACGTGTCGTGTCATATGGACAGCCAACACAACGTACCCATACTCATACAGGAAGGACTCGACAATGTCAACTGTACCATTGTTTTTGTGTTGCTATACTTTTTCGGTATGGCTTCGGCTGTCTGGTGGCTAATATTGGCCATCACTTGGTTTATGGCTGTTGGCCTCCGATGGCCAGCCGATCGAATCGACTCAAAGTATACTGTATTTCATTTCTTTGCCTGGATATTGCCGGCCCTGAAGACCATAGCCATACTGGTTATGCGTGTCGTCGATGCCGACGAACTGACCGGTACCTGCTATGTTGGCAATCAATCGCTGACCACTTTGCTATACTTTGTTATTGTACCGTCGGCACTGTATCTATCGTTGGGCGCCGTATTTCTCATAGCCGGTCTTATATGCAAACTGGCCAACAACAACAATCAAAAGTCCCAGTGCTGCCGAACATGTATTATACCTAATCGGCAGCGACACGGTTCCCATCACTCGACATCAACTAACTGTTCCCATGCCTCGCATCCGTATCCATTGCTAAGCGGCAGTCATCAGACAACCACACAGGGATCGGTAGGGCCGGGCAGCTGTCACAGTAAGGGTACAACTATATGTACGGGAGTTATGGTCAACGGCGGACARTTGGGCGTCTATCAGCAGCAGCAGCCGGACAGCGATAAGCTGACCGTACGGGTCGGCATATTTGCMATGTTCTATACGTTGCCGGCTTTCTGTGTATTGGCCGCCAATATCTACGAATATTTTAGCCGAAAYTCGTGGTATTTGATGACCAACGGCCAGATYGTTGTCGACGACAGGCCTAATGTGGAAATATTTACATTGAAGATCTTCATGTCGCTGGTCATCGGTATYAAAACTGGTCTGTGGTTGTGGTCAAATAAGACACCGTTTGTTACCTGGAAGACTGTTGGCCGCCGATTGGTCCAAAAGAAACAGCCGCTACCGCTCTATCTGCAGGCGGCTAACGGTGGTATCGGCGGCGGCGGCGGTGGTATTGCTGCACACAAACAGGCGCTCATACCTAATGGCAACCATAACGGCGGCTTCAATGGCTGCGGCGGCAGCGGTAAGCGGACACGTGTTAAGAGTGGCAATGAGACAACCGTTTAAGTGTTATTTGGTATACAATTTRAAAAAAGCATTTTTTTAATAACTTATTTATTTTATTTTATTTTTTTWAATAATAATATTAGTATTATTATTATACTGTATATTGTAATTAGTGTACAAAMAAAAAAATCTTAATTATTACTACTAMTAATAATTTTACTCAACAAACAAACAAAATCACAACAATTTACAAATCTATTTAAAAAAATTATAATAATAATTATTTGATAACTAATTTTTTTTTATAAATTTAAACTATAATTATTTGTTATCATATTATTATTTTTTTTATTTTATTTCTCACACTTTATTATTATCCATAAATCATTGCATTTTTTTAATCWATAATTTATTTGATGATTTGATTTTTATTTTTTTTCGATTATTTAATTAATTAATCATTTAATTGATTGAGTGAAATGAATGAATTTTTTWTTACTAAAACAATAATTTTTTTATATATGTTTGTTAAATAGTTTTAATTATTATTATTATTTATTACTTGTATTTTGACGGCTTAATTGCTATTATTTTATTATTATTATTATGTAACTAATCATCAATCAATAATAATAATAATAATACTAATCCAAAACTATATATATAATTTTTAATTATATAATTGATAATTAATAGACAAACAMATTGTATATATATAAATTGTTAAATAATARTTTTATTGCACATAAAAATATATTATGTATTGTATAATTAAAATAGGATTTTCACATTTTGTTTCATTGTTATAAATAAATATATAATTATTATTGTCATTAATTTATTATTATTATTATTTAAAAAAATACAATAAAACAATATAATAATAATAATAACATTGTTTCTAATCTCAACCAATGTATTAACACAATAGCTTAACAAAAATTATTACTAAATGTGTAAATATTTTAGATTAATTGAAAATCACAAAAATTGTAATTGTTATGACAAAAAATATTTATATATGATATGTATTTATGTAGAAAAAWAATTATTGTAGAAAAATAATAATAAWTATAAATAATAATATATTATTGCAATCATAAACATGTAATATTCAATTTATTTAATTTTATTTTTAAATGGTATTCAAAAAATCAAAACAACTAAACAAAACAAAAAAGTTTAACAAATAAAATATTGGCAATTGTTTTGTTTTTTTAGTTTAAACAAGCATAACTAAAAATCTACTCATAAATATATATATATATATATATATATATATATATATACAGTATATATATGACAAATACATACTGTATATATATATACAGTAATAATAATAATATATGATATATCATATTATCATCATAGTATACAATACCTAATAAATAATAATATATTTATACGTGTGGTTTGGTTTTTGTTAAAAAAAAATAAAGTTAGTTTTGTGGCTTCAAAAACATCCAATTTATATATTAGTTTTACAACAAAAATATTTGTTTAGTTTGTAACAAAAWTTTTTTTTCTGTCTATTCATTGCTAGTTCTCTCTCTCTCTCTCTCTCTCTCTCTCTCTCTCTCTCTCTCTCTCTCTCTCTCTCTTTCTGGGGGTAAATGGTTTGCCTTTCAAATAATATGGTTTACTTAGTCTGGTATATAGTTTAACCTCCTATTATAAATACAAACACACACTGCTATACACACACACACACACACACACACTATTATGGGGGGACGACTATAACTACAAGTGTATAGTAAAAGTAAAAACAACTGTAATGTGAAAAACTAAACAAAACAAAAATTGAGAGAAAAGTTTTTTTTCTAAATAAACTTTGTTTCCGATGACAGCACAGGTATGTACTGTATGTATGTATGTCTACTCTATTTTGAACTGTTGTTGTTGTTGAAAGGTAATGAAAATGAGATATATATATATATAGAGGTTCACTATATTACCCAGTTGTTTGTTACTGTACTGTATTGTACAGTCTAGTTAGTTAAGTTAGTTAGTGATGTGATGAGGTTTGGTTTGTTAGGGGAACGGTATATTTTTAGCCTAACCAGGAAAACCTCTAACAAAGTTTATACATACAGTTTATATGGGGAGAGGRGTAGGGGGAGGGAACTACACTTTAAAATGTTTATAATGATGATAGACCACTGAATTCATTTATTATTATTATTATTATTATTATTAGGTTTTCACAGATTGTTTTTAAAAGCGAGAGTACACTACATGATAGTTGAAGACAACTAAATACAATATCACACATAAAACTACTAATAATACAATTCATTTTAATTTGTTAATACAAAACTKTATAAACTTTAAAGGTAATGAAAATTTATAGYTATAGTAGTAGTACTGAATATATATACATACATACATACAGAGAGAGAGAGAGAGAGAGAGAGAGAGAGAGAGAGAGAGAGAGAGAGAGAGAGAGAGAGAAATATATAAATTTTAAAAAAAAACTTTTTAATTAATATATAAATAATAAATGTTTTTTTCAATGTTTGTTTGCAAATGACTTTTCATCATAACTTGTCTGATGGATGAAAACACAACCAAAAAAACATTTTTTTGTATACATATATATATATATATATATATATATATACAGTATATGATATAACTTGTCTTTTATAAACAACTATTTTTCAACGCAAACGAAAATAAAATTACATTACACTATATATCAGAAAATAAATTATCTGTCAAAGTTTTTTTTTCAGTAAAAAAACTGGAAATGTTGGATACAGTATATAATATATACTGTATGTATGTATATATATGTATGTATTTGCTGTATAAGCAATTGAATTTTTATTTTATTTTTTATTTTTGAATTATTTACAGCATATATGGTTATCTTATATTATATATATACATATATGTATACATAAATAAGTACATTATGTTATGTTATGTTATGTGGTATTTCCAAATAAAAATATGATTTATTATACATAATATTATTTAAGTTAWAGCATAGCATATTATCAGCATTATATCATTTTTAAACAAAAAAAAAGGTGATATAAGTTAGACTATGAAATATAATGGTGTAATAGAAATATATAAGAAATTAAATAAATAATTTTTTTATATTTATACTGTATAGAAATTTTAATTTTAAATAAATTCAAACAAACAAAATAATTGGTAGTTTTGTTATTGAAATACAATTTATCCGCACAACAGTATAAATATAGCAAAAACAAAATAATATTAATATTAATAAATTTCAATAATATTTATACAATATGTGATATAATATACAATAACAATAATTTATTATTGTTTTGAATACATCTAAACAATTTATTCTCAATTTTGTTTAATCAAATATTATAAATAAAAATAATAATAATATGATTGTATGTAATATTTCAATATAAAAAAATTAGATTTGCATTAATTTATTATATCTAYAAAATTTTCATATCATATATTATAATCACACACACATATATATATATACATACATTCACACACATACACATACACATACACATACACATACATACATACACATACATACATACATACACACACATACATACACATACACACACATATACATACACACATACACATACACATACACATACACATACACATACACATACACATACACATACACATACACATACACATACATAAATACATACATACATRCACACAAACATCGCATGGCATCACTTGAACTTTTTTGTGGTGCTTATATACGGTAGTACCAGTAGGTATGGTATGGTATGGTATGCTGGTATGGGGTTATGTAAGTCATACACGTACACATCGGTAAGTACTGTACTTAATTGTATATTTACAATATGGGTATTCATATACATGTATATATTATATATATAATTTTAACCAAAATAAAATTTTTCTAATAATTTTTGTGTGGCATTGTTTATTTATATAATACCATAGTGTGTGTGTGTTTGTATATGTTRGCGCTTATATAGCTTTTTGAGCACCAGTAGTTGAAGAAGTAGTAGTAGTAGGAAATATACAGTAGATCTATAAATATAAATACTTTATACTATTAATACTATATACAGTATTAGTCATCTTATATAACAAATTTTTTTTATATAATATTATTATTATTWTTGTTATAAACAGGCACTCAATAAAGCTCTTAAAAAACAGTTGAGATAATTGAGATAATGTGGTGATAACAAGCCATGTATTTTCATATATTATTATTATTATTATTATTTAGTGAGCAATGTACATTATGTTTTTTTTTGTTGTTTGAAAAATATAAAGTCATTGATGATAATATACCATTACATGGCATAACCATACACATGCATACATATATATATATATATCATATCACCCCAAAAATAAAATGTTAGGTTAATATCATATCATACTGTATATGTATGCATAAAGTTTATGTATGAATTATTAACTGGTATATTATATCTATTATATATATAATTTATATAATATAATTAATGATTAAACTTATTCAAACACATACACACAGTCAACAAGTATGAGTGATATTCAACACAACAAATAGGAAATATATGTAATAGTAATTTATTTTTTTTGAAAAACATTTTTCATTTACATAAAACATTATTTTTATTATATATATAATTTATTATATATTCACTGGAAACTGGAGATCCAGATAATAGTAGTTAAATAAAATAAAAATTTAAGAGAGAGAGAGAGAGAGAGAGAGAGAGAGAGAGAGAGAGAGAGAGAGAGAGAGAGAGAGAGAGAGAGGTAACAGATTGTACAACAATATGTATGTATATGTGTAGTGTGTGTGTGTATGTGTCATAAAACACGGGGTAAAAGTGCTTAAACATGTTGTTTGATGCTATTTTAAAAAGTGTAAATACATTATTATATACAGTATTTTTTAAATATATATATATAAAGTACAGTACATATACTGTATAAACGTTACTGTATTTACTGTATATATTTATTACATAACACATGTCTACTACTACTACTACTACTACTATAGTATTTTGTTGTGTAAAACGTTTTTATTATTATTATTATTATATTTAACTAAAATGCATTGACACGAGTCATTTGGTGTATTGAATAATAAAATTTACAACAAAAAAATAAAATAAATTATATTATTATTATTATT